ACATATATATATATATATCTGTATAATGTTTATAGAGAAATAAATAAGCAAATCTCTATATATGTATATATGTATATACAGGTGGATGCACTGCCGTAGTCTTTCGGAAGCCGTGTATCACGATGCACGGGGTTCGATGGTGTCAAAGGCTGGAATTTTTTCGGGCTTGTCGTCTCGAGCCGGAGCTTTTGATTGTCAGAGACCTCTTCGGTGTTCGGCCTGAAATAGGGAAATGTTTAGGGCTTTAGGGGTTTAGGGTTTAGGGGTTTAGGGGTTTAGGGGTTTAGGGTTTAGGGTTTAGGGGTTTAGGGTTTAGGGTTTAGGGTTTAGGGGGGCTTGAAAAATTGGTAGTACTATACTCATACGGGCTCCTCACTGTAATTATGCAATGGTGGGTTTGGGGTGCTTGTGCCAGGGGCCGTCAAAATTAGATTAGGGTTTTGGGGATAGGTTGAGACACTCAGGATTGTTCTCATCGGCTTGGTGCTGCTTGAGGTTCTGCTGGAACCCGGGACATCAATCCAAGGCGGAATGGTGTTTGCAGCCGTTATGGCTTGCGTCGTGGTTGGTTCGTGGTATTTTGTGTGCACCTGGGCATTGATTCAGGAGGTACGAGTCGAAATTTCGCATTAAATCCTAACCCCCTAAACTCAACCGTTTGTGCACCAAAACTCCTGAGGCAAACTGCTTTATCAAGGCCGGGTTGGCGTCTGACAGCACTACGCAATATTGTCACACTTGAAGCATCGCTTAGGGCGACTACAGAGACCCATTAAGAGGGCTGCCCTGGAATCGGATTTGGTTTCCAAAACCTACGCCTAGTACGACCACTCGGAACACCAGGAACACCTGGAGCGCCACGACGATCATGACGACCGGGACCGGGTGGGATTCACGAACATGACCACTGCTTGCACCCATGTATTGACCGGATTCAGGAATTTGACCAAAATACTTTCCCGGATGTACTGGCAGATTCGAGACATGAGCAACATGCCTCCACCGATGCTTCCCCCTCGGAAAGGAGAGATACAGAGCTGTGACCAACATGCCCCCCCATGTCTGTATTCCGACGCGAACATTAGGCCAATGTACTGGAATTTACACCGAATCGCGCACCGGAAGACCTCGTATGTAAACACTTCGGACATGATTACAAACTATGCACCACACCGTGCTAGGAGCGCAGAATATGTTGGGTGCGCTTCGCGTGCACACGTAGCAGTTATTCTGATCCTGTTTGCTCAGAACGTAAGAACCTTATGATGTGTAAGATACTGTTTGGGAAGTATATAGCCTCATCCTATACTGCCGAGGCAGATGCTTTCCGCGCTGAGTCTGTTTCAGACTGATACGCTCCAGACACGTGACGGTTGGGGTTTGCAGTTCAATCTGGGCGATGTAGCCCCTGTCGGGCGAATCAATTAGTGATGAGCCCTTGCAAAATCGTGGAACACTTGAATAGTTGGAGGCAAGAAGCCCCTGAATCCCTGTTCCGGTATGGACTTGGGCCCCGAACCATGCTTTCTGGAAGTACTACAACCTAAAGACAGAGGATTCTGGAAACCCTAATCTTTCTAAAGCCTAAACCCTATGTCGGTTGTGGCAGGGTCGGGGCTTAGGATTCGATGTGTTTTAAAGAGCCACGAGTGCACGACCCCGGATCTTCAATCCAGATCCAGGCACTACAGTGCATACTCCTCGTGCAGAATAGTTCCCCTAAGGGTCCATGTAGTGTAGCTTGAATGAGAGGAGGGCCGGATTCAAGTTTGCCTTTTTTCGGAATTGGAGTCAGTTGATTACCAGTGTTTCTGGCCTCGTTACCCCTGAAGTATCTGCTTCCCCTGAACTACCCTTACCGCAGCCTTCGGCAATCTTGATAAGGATGCTGTATTACTTTGGCCTGAAGAGATCCAGAGAACAACCCACGCGAGGTACAGTACCTGGGCCCTCAGGGATTTGTCATTTGGGGGTTTCCGAAAATAAGGGACATTAATGTAGCACCTTGAAAAGTAGGATCCTCATTATAAGGACCCCAAAATAAGGTACCCGAATTTTCAGAAACTCCCAGTTCATCGGTTTGCAGCCACTGCCATGTGCGCAGCTGCAGGCCGGACTTAGGTCATGAATCCTCTGCTGGCACGGTTTGCTTTTTCTACGTAGTTGTTACCAGCTCTAATCTTACTATCCGTGTCATTGTCATTTTAATGCCATGGTGTATTCTTAATATTAGTTATATTTTCATTATTATCATTATTATTATTATCATCATTATTTTTACTTCTATTGTTATTATTTTTATTGTTACTATTATTGTTATTATTATTATTATTATTACAGGTCGTGCCTTTTTGCTGCTCTCGTGTTTGACCTGAGCTTTGGTCGAGCTGAGCTCGATGAGGCCCTGCTGCAGAAGGCTCTACCCATAGGCCCCATAGTAGTTCCGTTTTGGGATTACCTTATAGGATTCTATATGTATGTATATATATATATATATATGAATGAACCCCAAAAAAGGAACTACTTTAGGGCCTATATGGGTAAACCTTGAGCCGCAAGTCTTCCCTCCTTTTCCGCAACTCCCTCTTTGAGTGCGCGAGCCGCCAAAACTCCAAGCTGCTGTTGTGCTTCGGGCAGCGGCCTAGACCGCAAGTTTGGGGTGTAGTTGCGGATCCCAAAACGAACTGGGTTTATTGGTTGTAATAACACGAAAATTCTGCTACCATAGCCTACTCTGTTGCAGGGTATGGTTTGGGGTTGCAAGCAGTGCCTTGCACACCGGGCGGCGGCGTCACTTTTAGTCGGTTAGTCCAGTAGAACATGTACGAGGGAATTATTCTCCACTATACCAGCCGCAGAACGACTTTGAATTAAGGGTTTCCGGCAGTAGAAACGATAATAATGATAATGGCCACAAATAATATAGTTGTGTTAAGAGAAACAATAATAAGAGTAGGAGCCATGAAAATGGTAACAGTAACATAAATAAGAATGATAGTAAATGTAACGGTCATGGTGATAGTAGTAATCAGCAGATTTAACCAAGAAGAAGGATAACACTAATAACTCAAGGATTCTTCATAATACTAATGATAGTGATCATGATAATGGAAGTAAGAGAGTAAGTACTAATCGCAATAACACCAGTACAGCAGCAGTGTTAATTGTAATCATAAAAACCATAATGATGATAATACCAACCAAACTTTTATTCGAGTCGCGGGGATTGCTCTCCGCTTCCATGCGGCAGGCAAGGACCCGCTCCTGCACAAAAGACATGTGTTTAAGGGGTTCTGTATAAGCTTTGTAAGGGTGTGCCATAGGAGCATATGAGCGGCCGTAGAATCTCCCAAAATTGCCCCAACCGATGACAATACCGATTTCAATGGCGTCTCCGGGCAATTACCGTTCCTTCGACAGGCATGGGCCAAGGATCTGACAGTAATCATGTGGTATATGTCCCAATGCTTTCGGTATCCCGAAGGCGAACCGTAAACTTTACGGCTGGCTGCGCGCCGCCGTAGCCATGATAGTCAACGGCTGCGAAGGCTAGGCTTGGGGGGTTTGAGGGTTCAGGGGTTTGGGGATTTAGGAGTTTAGGGTTTACGAGGCGACCGGATTCAGAAAAAGCGGTTTAATTAGGGTTTAGGATCCGAGTGTGAAGGATGGAAAGGCCGCCTTACATGCTGGAAATTTAGCATTCAGTCCTTCAGGACACCCAGCCGCCGCCAGGAGGCGGGAACCCTTTTTGTAGAGTCAACCTATGAGTTTGGTTGAGGATTTAGGGCTGTCCGTCGTAGATGCGCCCAATAAATGGAGAACGGGCGGATCGACTTCTATTGAAGGACAAAGGTGCAGTGCCTTTTTCAATTCCCATTAAGTTAGTATCCTTCGAGAGGTTGACTACTCGAAGCCTCAGGGGATTTGTTAAGTACGGTTGCAAGCAAGGTGTATTTTTTGGAGCTCCGTCCTTCACCGGACCCTCGTTTGGGATTTGTGGTGTAGGGTTAGTGAACCCTAAACCCTAAACCCTATAGAACCGAAGACTAGCGCATGCTTCAGTCCTTTGCGGCTGTGGTAGCACACGGCTAGGAACAGAGTTTACCTTAAGAACCCCAAACCCATTTTTTGTAGGTTCTGTTTATAAACCCTAATATGGGATTTATAGGGACCCTGCAAAAAAAGTAGGTTTTGGGTTCTTGAGGTTTTGTTTCGGATTTAGGGAGCTTCCTTTTTTGAAAACAAGGAGCTCCCGAGCTTCCACAGGCCAGGAGTGGTACCTCAGCTGGGGGTTTCCGAAAATTAGGGTACCTTACTTTGGGGTCCTTATAATAAGGATCCTATTATTTAGGGTACTATATTAGGGTCCCCTATTTCCGGAAACTCCCAGGGCAAGGAACGTGCTGTGCCGCCGAGCAGCTCGAAGTCAGCGCAGTTCGAGCGCATCGACTGAGACACCGACGCACGGACGTTCTTTGGTGTTTTGGGGCGTCGCCCAGCGGCCGCTGCTCTGCCTTCGTTGGATCCTCATTGCACAGTCGAGATTTGTCGCCTTAACTTCGTTTGGTTCAAATTCTGGCTTGACTCCCGAAACCTTATATCAACCTTAAGCAAAAATGACTGCACCCTCATTAGAGGTGGCGATCCCAGGTCCTGGCCCATGGCCGATCCCCGCCCCCTCTTTGGACCCATGACTTAAAAGCCCGTGACCGAGGTACAGCCGCCAAGGGGAACCATTCACTCTAAATCTAGCATCCTAAACCCCATGACCCCGAAGCCAAGACCTAAATCCTATAGGACCTGATCATAGCAAGGCACTTACATGACCCCACGGTACGGGTGGAAGCAAGCCAGCGCCATACGTCCCACAACCCTCCTTGTCTGCCAACCCCTCAACGACACAACCCTCAACCGTAAAGCCCTAGACCCACAGAGATGTCCCAACTCAACCATACAACGTCAAGCTTCCAAAGAGCTCTTTTCTTTATGCCTGGAGCCATTGGCCCCAAGCCCCTAAACCCACGAATAGAAAGTTGGGGTACAAAGTTGGGGATTCCGGCTCCTGTCGCCATTCAGAAGTCACTGTATAGTATTAACCTTAGGATCTAGGCTTTAGGGTTGAAGGTTGATTGGGTTGAGGGTCTACTCTACAGTTTCGCATATGAGGATTTCGGGCTCAAGGATTTTATGGCTTAGGGGTCAAGGCTTAGGATTTCCCTTATACCCTGAGAAAAGCCGCAGGCCTTCCCATGACCCTTCACTGAACCTCAATGCACCCTAGAAACCCTAAACTCTACGGAACCCTGAGGCTCAACCCTTTTCCAAGGCCGGCGGATCGAACCAGAACTAACCAATTGTTGGGGATTCAGTCTTACAGACATGGTATCACATACACCCCCTTTTAAAACAAAAACAATCTACTGAGGGTCCCTAGAGATAAGCCCTCGTTAGAGCCCATAGAATTCGCATCCACATGTTCGAATTGCTGGACTTATCCTCGCAGGCCCTGGCCAGTCACACGTTGCCGTGGATGTGCCTGACTGAGACTCCCTTATGGGTTTCGGGTTTGAAGGTTTGCTATAAATATAATATAAGTATAATAATTCTCTGAGCTATTATAATCATCATCCTTATCATTACCACTAACTATTTTTGTTATTGTTATGATTGTTGTCATTTGTAGTATTGCTATCAGGGTTAATTGCATGGCCTTTTGTTATGTTTACGAGTATGCGGTGACCCGAATCATGGCGAGAAATGTTTAAGATTTTTTTTCTAAAACAGGCTTTCGAGAACCTACATCTTGTTACACTCGGTTTGTTTAGGGTTTACGGTTTAGGGTCTTTTTCAGTTAAGATCCCGGTATCTTAACCGAAGGAAACATGCCCACTGCTGTCGTGTCATGGTTGGCTTCGCAGGGACACGGGCTACTTTAGGTAAGGCTAAGATAGGCTAAGCATCCTCTTTCTCTGCGCCTCTAAACCCTATAACCTTAGTCCGTAGCCTTCCAAACAGTAATCCTTACCCTTTTCTGGATATGTTTAGAAGGCTTTTTCATGAGTCTCAGGTAAGCTGTCGAATGCAGGATTGTCTGCGGCGCTTAGTGTTTAGGGTCATGGCACATATAAACTAGATGCTTCGGCCAGCCTCTTGGGATAGTAGCGACTTTGGGACTTTGGGGTCAAGGCCAGTCTAAGTTCTTTCACCCCCAAGTCAGTATATACACCGTATTCAGGTTTACATCACAGAAACTTGAAGACAAATAGCAAGCTAAACGAACAACAGATTCAACCGAATCTTATATACCCTTTCGACGACAAAAACAGCCTTAGCAAA